TAATGAAAGTGTTTCAAAATGCGAAATTAATTTCTTGACGACCTAATATCTTTAGTGAATGAATTAGTTTGTGTAATATGAAATTCTCCAGTACAATTTGGTTACACAGTAGGGTGGTATGGAAGTGTTAGTGGAAGTTTTTGCGTACAGTTGAGGATGGGGTATATTACTGGCTTTGTGGAGAGCTTTGTTTATGAGAGGAGTTTGGTAAACCGAATGAAGAGAAACTGGTCATTTCTTCAGATTTATAGGTTAATTTATCCTCCACATTACAGAGATGTCATAAATGTAAAAACTGTGAACAACGAATGGAACGTATGATGAAAGGATAAAGACAATAATCAAGGATCAAATAAGAGTGAGAATATTTTGGATTGTAGTGAACAAAAGTAGTGACCCTGTTACTGTCAATACTCGTGTTCACGTCAAGGGACGAAAAATTTGTGCAAGATCTTTACCAACTGAAGTTCATTGAGGGGTGAACCCAAACTAGTTAAAATGTCAAGGTCAATTTGTTCGCCAATAAACACGCCCACAATGCTATGAGTGTATCTATCATGAAAATTATGATTTTTTCTTTGCAACTGTGAAAATACTTGGTGTTCAATTTAGCCACAAAATAAACGGACATACAAAGGCCCAATTTTAGTATCCATAACAATGCCACAAATATATTTATAAACATTGTCACTAAATGTGAAAGTTATTGAAAGTAACTAGGGTATTTGTAGAAGGATGAACAAGTAATGTTGTGGTTTTCTCATTACACTGTTAAGTATCAGATAAGATAAACCATCTAACTAGAGTTTCGATGGAGTAAATATTGCAGAATTAATTCCTGACGTGACTAAGTTGAAGAAAGGTGTCTGTACACGACTTTGCAGTAATACAGAAATACCACTTATTGATTGAACATAGACATTCAAATGAACACAACTCAGCCGATGTGTGCACAATAATAGAGGCAGCATTTTTCTTCTACTGGGAAAGTTTTGTTTCGGGTGAAGTTCTGAAAGAATGTAATGAAGGTCTATCTAGATAAGAAAACTAGCTACTAGATATATATTACAACTGGGTCAATTCTCCCAGAGTATACTTGTTTATCACATCACTTGGTTTTTTCCTTAAGTAAAAATGAGAAGAATACAACTTCCAGATATTTCTAAATATCTAACTGACGAGTCCCATAGAGAACACATTAGTACAAATCTAAAGAATTTTCCAACGATATTTCATAATCGATATATCTGCACGATGAACTCAATACGCACGTTAAACAAGTGGTGACTGTAAGAAAAAATAAAATATAAAGTACAAGTTTGTTTGTTTGTAGTTAAGCGTAAAGCTACACAATTGGCTATCTGTGTTGTGTTCACCACAAGTATCAAAACCATTATTAAACCTGCGGACTTAATGAGGAGCCGCGGGGGGGGGGGGCAAAAAGTCAAATACATCCTCTCAACTTTCAGATACCACGTTGTTATAGGGAACTAATGTTAGCAAAATTAAACATGGAAATTTGTTTTCATTTTGTGAAGCCCCTCAATGGCTCAGCGGTAAGTGTCTGAAGGCATATAAACATTAAAAACCGGGTTTCAATACTTGTGGCAGCCACAGCAAACATTTTGTGAAGTTGGAGATTTTTTGAAATTACGGATATTGCTTTCACACTATGACAAATAACTTATTAGGGAAGATAGTGTTTCAAATATTGTCCTTTAGTACTGCCCCTAGGGGCACAGCGGAACGTCCGCGCACTTACAACACTATAAACCGAGTTTCGATACCTGTGATGGGCAGAGCATAGTTAGCCCATTGTGTAGCTTGTGCTTAACTACGAACAAACAAAGAAACTTTTAGCACTGAGGACGGTGTAATTATTCCTGGAAGATTTTGATCATACAAAAGCACAACTTAACTACCTGTTAAGTTTATATGCAAACAAAATGCATTTTAAACAAACGCTGCGACCACGAGTTTAGAAGTGTCAATCTCACAAATTTAAATAATCAATAAAACTCAAAGGATAAAAAAGGAAATGGGGTCAGGAATATCACAATAATTAGATAAATAATGCTTTGGCTATATTACACCTACACTAGAAACTATGTATTAGATGTTGTAATTCAGCAGTGTTGAGTAAAATAATATCTGCATGTGTGAAACACATAAGTGGCAAAAGTGTATTTACATGATCTACAATACGCCATCACGTAAGTAAATGAACTGTTAAGTTCCACGAAGGATAGTCTTTCTTAATAATAATATTTTTTTAAAAAGTGGTTGAACTTGATGTAAAGAAGAGTTTCCTTTTAAATTAAAGCTGGTTACATTGGTATGTTCAGAATGCTTCAAGTAAAAAATATATAATTTATAGGTGACGCGATCGTCGTCCTCATGTGATGTTTTTTTTTGTTTTTTTTATAACAAACTATATGTGACTAAGTATGATAATCAGATGACATCGAAATTGTTGGTGCGAATAAGTTATAAAATTTTGTTCGTTAAACTTAAAGCGACAAAAAGAAAGAATTGAGAAAAAACAACGACACAGAGTATCTGAATAATCAAAATTGTCGTAAGTGCAATTCATATAATATACATCACTGTTAATTATTCATCTATGTTATGATTTTTAATTTTTTGTCTATAATTTGCACTTTTAATTTTGATTTTATAAAAATGTAAGGCGAAATAAAGTAGATTTATTACAATTTACAATACAAGCCTAACAGTAACACAACACTAAGTATAAAATAACTTGGTAGGCCTAAAACCACGCACAATATAAATTAGCCATTTTAATTTTTAACTATTTAGTGTCAATTGTTTTAAATTTAAATTGTACTGTAGACGAGAAATAATCTTACCAGTAGGCCTAACACCTGGTAACTAATATTAATACGAAAGTTTAACCACGCCATTCTCAGTTCTGAGTGTAACTTCCAGATCCAACTTTTTTCTTTATAAACTGGGTTTACTAATAGTAATAATAATAGTATTATTACTAATTTTAATAATAATAATACTAGTTCTGTGTCAGTACACTTTTAATTTTAGACCTTTGCTACCAGTACTGATAATGGTAAAACGTTAATAATTCAATAACAAAAGAAAAAGTGAAATTTGATCATTTTAGCTTCCAACCTATTTCCTGTCGAAATTTGAATTGCATTTAGTCTTAACAAGTGAACTGCTGTAAACACATTGAACTTGGGTATATCTTGCAGACTAATTCACCATTCCCTGAACTATGTGAAACTGAAAGAGTATGACATATCCTCTCAATCTCATGGTTGTCAGAAGATTACATGTAGATTAATAATAAAGTTATATAACACTTGAACAGTCAGAGAGAATAATTTATAATAATGCAGAAATGACTTGTACTAGTTTATATACTTGTGGAATGGTTGTCTGAAGGTATGATGTTTGCAGTAAGTTAATTAAGCCATTATGTTTACTTTAAAGAGTATTGGACTAAAATATTCATAGGAAGAGGGAATAAAAGTTTGCATTATCATGAATTATCATAAAAAAATTGAAAAGTGAGTTGTTTTTTAAATTGTATTGAAAGAAGGAAATGTATGATTTTAGTAGAAATATAAATGTGTAGCAAATTTAATTTTTTTTTTTTTCATGAAAACAGAATTCTAGATACGGAAAGTTTAAATGAACTTAAAGCTTAAATTATTCTGAGAACTAAAATTTCTTCTTGGGACAACATCATTTGTAAAGCTTGGCATTTGTCTCAATTATTCAGTATAATAAATTACATAAATTACTGTCATGTAAAATCATCATTTAAATCAATTTAAATCACTCATCTGATCAGTATTAATGTTTCTGAGTATAACTGTTTTAATTTATTTCAGCTCTCCAAGTAATCAAAATATTACCTTATGATTTCTAGTTATTATTTATTAATTTAAGGTTGTTCAGCTTAATCAGAGAAAATAATAAACTAATCAAAATTAATGTTTCCAATTATTATAATTTTTGATTATCCAAACTATCCAAGTCTCACATAAGTTGAATGTGATTGATTAATGAGCATGATAATTAATTTATTAGCTTATTTTACTAACAGCCTGACTCTAATTAATTCTATATTTGCAAAACTTCTTACATTTGCTGTTAAATATTAAAATCTTACTATTCAGAATTTATTTTGTGTCAGTAGGGAATCAAGATTATTTTTGTTACTGATGACTAAGTTGATTTTTACTTTTGCTCAAAGTACATAGCTTACTCTGATTTTAAGTTACTTTGACTAACCCCAAAACTAAGAATTTTTTGTGTTAAATCTTTAACAATATTTTTTTTATCAATGGTATTTGAAATCTTTTGAACCATTGTTGTTCTTACCTGAATGAATGTTCTATTTAAATCATCAATAAAAAATATTTAGCATCATTCTAGGCTTTTTTTTTACTTTGTAGTAAAATTGTGACCTTTTTTTTTATGACTTTTACTTATTGTACTTGCTGCCATGTGACTACCAGGACAAAATTCCAGAAATAGCCTAAAATTACTTAGAATTACACCAAACAAATAATTAGTACATCAGTGAGTAAAATTTTTCTAAGAACATAATAAAGATGGAACTTAAAAGTAATTCTGTATAGAAAAATATATAAAAAAAAAAGATGTGATCCATAAATGCATAACATACTTAAAGAGATTTAAAATGGGTGATACCTGAATTATTTTGGATTCCCAAATTACATAAAACACTTTACAAATATAGGTGTATTGCTGTGGCTAAAAAATGCTATGACTAGGTCTTTGTCAATTCTAATAGGTGATGACCTGAAATACATTTAAAGAAATGCAGTAATATTGCTTCAGAGAAAACAAGTATTACTCCTTTCATTATCATTGGTAGTTCCATTGAATTTAAAGAGAAAGTTAAAGGCTTTGAAGTTATAACAATAATTACAATTTACTTACACATATTAGTTCACACCATAACAGTCTTTGTTTATGAAAATTGAAGATGTAGTGCCAAGACTGCTGCTATGTTTTATATATCCTAACTAGGCTGATGAGCCCAGGAGTTGAGTGAAAGGCCTCTTCAGCATTGGATATGACAGATGTAGTGTGGTTCACATAACATATTTTTCTTTGGTTTCCATCATAAAGTATTAGAATAGAAATATTTGATTTTAATAGACTTTACATTAGTCTTTCTACTGATAAAATTAAATAGTCTGTCAGCAATAATTTCAAGATCTTTTTATTATTCTGTTAAGTTAAGGCTCTGTATCAGCAAACACAGAACTTTCTCTGACAATGTCTCATAAAAATAACCACTCTTTCACATTACACAAACTTTAGAGGCCTTGTATTTTTATTGGACAACACATTTGTGAAATGTGACCAACATGTCTTTCAATAAGTACTAGGTATTCCAGTGAGAGGTATCTTCAACCCCTAAATTACAGATTTATATTTATTACAATTGTAATTTTCATACATTACAAGTCTTGATAAAGCAAAAAAAAAACTACTGTAAAGCTTTGCACATCAGTCACACTTGTTGATATATTTATGCTATTATTTTTCCTAATTATCAAGGTTTTCTGTATACAGCCAAATAAATTTATGTTCACCACAGCTAACTATAGAGAATAAATTCCCTAAAACATAACATGTTATCCGAGTTTAGATATCGGGATCATTAATCAAACATTCAAATAATTCATGACAAGGAACCCACTTGAAGTAAATATATATTAGAGATGGTTGATAAGGGTATGAAACCTTTATTTAAATAAAAAGTTTTTCATACCAATATCAGCTATCTCTACTATATTTATATTCAAGTTCAAAATTTTAAATAAATCAGACACTTTCGACTTTGAAGTCATAAACTTTCCATTTCCAGATATGTTTAATACTCATAGCTTGTTAGATCCAATAGAATTTGTGCAGCATTATAAGACTTCTTGGCCAGAGCTTGTAAACTCTCTCATTTCTTACAAACAAGGTTTTTTCCTGTTGCAATTTAAACACAAAATTCATTAATTTATGTTGAGAATTCAACAATATTCTTGCTACTGATTACAGGCTTAGATAATTAACTGATTTTTATGCATTTTTAGAAACTTTTATGTCTACACTGATTAATTTGTTTGCAAATTATGTAGGGTCAGGAATCAAAATATTACATTCCCAAGGAATTTAACTTTGCTTGAAAAATTTCATCTTTTTATTTGGCTTTCCCAGTAGGGAATGCATGGTCCATCCGTGTTCCTTTAGTTACGACCAATGAAGGTGAACATATTGCATGGATTAATTAAATAAAAAAAAACATGAGGAAATGCAACTTTACGTGAGGGAATGTAATCTTCCTGATAGCTTTCCATCGAGTGAATGAATACTAGTGAACCACTTTAATGTAATGACCACCATTGATTTTATATCTTGTTAATTTAAGCTCTTATTATGTACAGTTAATACTAGCTGTGTAACTGTTCCATATGTAATATGACATTGTGTCATTATTTAAGTTATATTAGTTTTGCTAATTACTTTCTTTGCCATATTTATGATTGTTGTAACTTTTCTTTCCAAGTCTTACTATTATCATTGAACATTCTCAAGGCATATTGTGTTTACGTTTCAGCTTTTACAGAAGATTTATGTATGTTTAATGCTTCCCATTTCCTGCTTCATGAGTTTTGACAAGTGACAGGGGGTTAAAGTGTGAGTAGTTGTGCTAGAAACACCTCATAATATGTTTAACATATTGTTTTCTTTGTATTACATTTAACATAATTCTATTTTTGTTCCAGAATCAGTATTATAGCTATTTATTGTATGATTCAGGTATTCATTTAAGTTACTCTCTTGTATCTTCGTAAATGTTAGTTTTTGGCTGTACTCTTGGTAATCTCCTGCTAGTTGACTCCACCACTAAATGATAGCATATGTCATTATAATTCATATCAGATATTACACTTCTCTAAAATTACACTGTCAGAACTGTTTAATGTGTTTTCACTGGTCATAAGATGTTTTTAGGGAGAATTATGTAAAATTTTGCTTATGAGGTTACCTTGATATTTCACTGTTCAACAACATTAAATTATGTTTGTTCTTTAGCTAAGGTACGCTCTATTATTTCTTTATTACTTTAATAAAAGTTTGGTTATAATGTTTAATGTATCTATTTTAATTTTGTTTAGTTTTTGTTATATTTTTATTATAGAGATTGTTTTGCATTGTTAGCTTAATATACATTTTTAGAAAGTAACTAAATCTAAGCTGGTTGAGCGTTGTGAATTATTATTGGGGAAACAGCTGAAAATACTGTTAACAGTGAAGATATCCAACTGATGAAACAATGCATTCTAATCATTTTATGTAATAATACAAGAAAAGTGTATTTAATTAGCTATATGCATTATCAGGTTGATTTTTAATTTTGCTCTAAGTAAATAGTTTGTTATAGTTGAAATTAATATCAATAAAACAAAAGACTACTTATGAGTTTAAGAAAGAAGAAAATTGTTTTTTTTATGGGAGCAGAGATTTGTAACTGCTCTTCACATCATCAGTCCATCAAAAATG